AGTAATAAACTTCCCTTTTTGCGAATTGCATTGTCTTGAAAGCCTTCTCTCTTCCCGCCCGGGGATTCAGACATTGGGCAAAACAGTAGATACTTGGAGTGCCCAATATCCATTCATTTTCTAAGAGCACTCTGTTTCCTTTTGAGAAATAACTTCTTTCCCATTGGACAATGTCTATTGGGATAATAATTCAGGATCATGGCCTTCCCTACCCAAGGAACTAACTCAAGATGCATACTGAACCAACTAGATGCCCCTACCCTAATATTTAAATCTGAGCAGAGGTCAAAGGATATGGAAGTAACTAGAATCCACTCTGTTCCCATGAGGAGTTCCTACTGGGGCCTCTAGAATATTTGGTTTCTGTGCTTCTGGAGCTGTCTTATTTCTTACTTTATCCCCAGCATGATCTCCTAGGATCCTGGCAATTCTGTGAACCTCTGATAGACTTCTACCAAATTCCTTCTAGCTTGAGTTAGCCAAGATTCATGTCTGTAGCTTGTCATTAAAGGCATGAAAGAAATATACAACAACATTCATACAATGGGCTAAAGTTTACATGACTTTTGTTCATCTAGTACTCCATTTCACTCCCATAGAACTCTGACATTAATAGAGCAGATACTATATCCACTCACTGATTCATGATAAAAACCTAGGCACAAAGGGTTTAGACAACCGGCCCATGCTCTCCCAGCCAGAAAATGCCCCCAAGACTTCTGGCATGACACTCAGCACCCTGTACCACACTGCAGTGAGGTGTGAGCTTCTCATCTGTTCTCCATAAAACAGCAAAAGGAAGACAAGTTAATTAGAAACACACATGCTCTTCTACCAGCATTCATGTGACTAATATCACGGGCCTCTTTTTAAATTTCCCTTTTGTGCACAGGGATCAAGATGTAAAAACATTCTTTAATATACTACAGCAACATTAATGGATCCAGACTGTAACAGGGTGACATATTTACATTCAGAAAGATTGGAAGTAATGGCAAATTGGCTCTGATGTCACCTATAATTGTTGCCTTTTAGAGGAGACATACCTAAGTCTATCATCTCTATGTAGAGGGAAATGGCTTCCTGGAAACAAAAATAAATATGCCTCTTTTCCAAAAGGGAGTTGACACTAATCAAGAAGCATCTGAAAATAGGTCACACAGGGGCAATAATTATTCCTTGACTAACAGCAGGCAGTTCCAGGTTTTCTTTACATATAGAAGGACTAAATTTAAAGTGTCAGTGGAACTTAACTGAGCAGTACAAGTGTTGTCTGAAGTCAGTAATAGTCTCTTGGAATTTAAAATCACTAAATAATTTGGCTGAAGTCACATTTCAGGTCCTTGGTGATGTTTGGTGCAAAAGGCAAATAATGCAGATTAGAATTAGAGCAGTGAAGAACCACCCAAAGCAAAGACCTGGGGATGCAGCCCGCACCCTCAACTCCCACCACCCAACACTAACTGTAAACTTGGTGTGTTGAGGCTTAGCATCCACCTTAGGCTCTTCTCTTGGAACAAGTCTTTCTCACAGAAGGGTAAGTAAAAACTCAGTTCCTGATACCACCTGTTTTTACAATCTTACAATATTTCTCATTTTAGATGAGAGGACCCTTCATGAAGATGCTTGAAATAAAAGCACTTAAAAAATAAACATGACAGGAACAAGTTCATAAAGTGTTGGATTCAGGCAGGCATTAATGTTTTTTATTTATATAAAAAATTTCTGCTTGTCAACAGCCACTCCCTGTCAACATCTATTCTAGATCATTTTACTATAAAAGATAACATCATCATCTAGATAAAATATTTTTTATGAACAATAGACATTTCATGACCTTAGGTGGAAAACCAGGCGACAAAATTTTTCTTCAAAGTCCCCTAGTGTGAAAATTAGATGTTCTTTTACACCAGGGAAAATGTGAAAAAAAAATCCCCCTTAATAATTAGAGCACGTGATCCCATGGGTACACAGCTTGTTCTATTGGTTTGATGGGATATGCTTCTCAATTCCTACAAAATTGATTTACTGAACCAAAACTAAAATCTCAATGCCTCTAAAATATAAGTAGAAGTCTAAAATTGATCAGTAAGCAAAAAAGGAAGTAAAGCAGAAAAGAATTCCTATGAATGTCAAAAATCACATAATTATGTGATATGCCAGTAGCAATGTCTGCAAACATCTATGAAAAGAGATCCATGAAACTGTTCTTTTTATTCCCAGATGAAAGGCAGACCTGAAATAGTAAATAGTTCCGAGAGTGATAGTTGTATAGCACCAAGTTCAATGCTAGGGCTGCAGGTCAAATTTGATTACCTTTCTTATCTCTGCCTTCTTTTACCAGTTGTCTTCTTCTAGCTTAGTGATTTGTTAGTACTTTGTTTTTTCAAATATATTGCTCCATCTTGCAGGACAAGCACACGGTTAATCTTTCTATGGATAACAACTATTCTAGATGTGTAAATCAAGTATTGTCAAAAGCAAATAAAGCGTTTTGGAAAATCAAGAGACTAATTCATACAGTGTGATTGGGGGTGGGGTGGGGAATGGGAGGAATGTTGTTTTTTTTTTTTCTTCTGGAGAGTTCTCTTCTCAAAGAAAAATGTTAGATTATTGCAAAGAATATGTTCTTTGGCAGCATTCTCGCTTTTCTCCATTAAAAAGAAAGTTTTACACTTAATAACTTACAAAGTACATAAATGTCCTTGGAGGATAAGTGAATCCTACTTTATTTGGGGTAGGAGGGAGGGAAACCATCCGCGATTTGCTTGCTTTCTTTGACCTTTTCCATAACTCTCTCGTCTACCCATCTGACAGGCGCTATCAAAGATGCTGAAGTAGATCAAATTTCCTTTTTCCTTTCCCCAGGTTAATGACATTTGCTGTGAGGGTCAGGAGATTACCAGAGAACTGTGAACTAGAGGCAGGGAGCAGGAAGGCTGTATCCCAAGAATAATTTCCTCCACTTCTCTGACAAGAGAACTGTGAAAGTTGTCGTTATTTGTCTATATAAACAACACTTCCCACCCACCCAGCATTTTCTTGGAGAGGTGGGCTTCTGACAGCCTTCTTTCTAGTTTCTATAGTGAACAAATTTAAGTCCTGTTTCGATTCACCTTGGGGTGCAATACATTCTATTTATACCCAAATGTACATTGCTAAAAAGAAAAAAAAAAAAAAGGTTTTTAGATCATTTTATTCATCACTTCTCTAAATATTCTATTCCCCAAATTCATCACCCACCCACTTATTCATCAGTCTTCACACCAAATAAATCCTGACAGTCTTCCAAATCCAAATACACCCTCAAAGGATGAAAAATCACTGATAACATCATTTGAAATGTTTAGAAACTGAGGAAAATGTCTGATAAAGCCACCCTAACAATAGGGCAGTGATGCTAGAGCCAGCTCTTGCCAGAATGGTATTGATTATGCAAGAAGGACATTTCAAAGCTAATCAAGACACCCTCTCCCCTCAACACACATACACACACACACACACACACACAAATCACGGCCTTTCGAACAAGACAAGTCAATAGTGTCCCAAGATAGAAACAAGGAGGAAAAGAAAAAAAATTCTTAAAGTCACTTCTTTGGGGAGAGATTATCCATCTCCCTTTCACTTCCCATTCCATAGTGACTTCAACTCTTAGTCTCACTAAATTATTATGAAATGTATGCCTTCTATTTCTATTGTATTCCTGGATCTTTATGTGTACCAACCGTCCAAATGACAGGAACTCTCCCATCCGTAGCCCTTTCTAATTTTCTGTGTATGGTGTTATTTTAGGAAACAAAGTGTGAGGAATTTTTATGCTTCTTAAAAAATAAGCATCTTTCATGTCATCTTTCGGAGAAGGCAATGGCAACCCACTCCAGTACACTTGCCTGGAAAATCCCATGGATTGAGGAGCCTGGTAGGCTGCGGTCCATGGGGTCGTGAAGAGTCAGACACGACTGAGCGACTTCACTTTCACTTTTCACTCTCATGCACTGGAGAAGGAAATGGCAACCCACTCCAGTGTTCTTGCCTGGAGAATCCCAGGGACGGGGGAGCCTGGTGGGCTGACATCTATGGGGTCACACAGAGTCGGACACAACTGAAGTGACTTAGCAGCAGCAGCAACATGCCATCTTTCTTATAGATTCTGCAATAGATGAATTAGTTCCAAATGGTTGGGTTTTCACTCCCATTAACTAACACTAAGGCAATGCTCTGTGGATTATTCAGCATTCAGAATCACACAGGTCCAGAGGGAAAATACAGGGCAGGATATATGAACCTTGACTCTTGAATGAGCTGAGGTGCCTGGAGTCACATTCCAGAAAGTAGAGTTGAAGAATGGTATTCCTTAGGTAATTATGATCTCAGCCAGTTCTAATGGAGCGATAATAGTTTGGCAGATCCTATGGGTGGTGTGCATTTCAGAATCCTCACAAATTCCAGGGAAAGAAAGTTATTCTTCTACCTCAGGAAAAAAAGAATAATTGACCTATTGGGATATAGGAGAAAATTGACTACAGTTCCTTTGGCACTAGGGTCCCTTGTCATTTAGAAAACAGTGATTGGATTACAGGGTGGATT